ATGCACTCAGCCATGATTGTGGCTAACCGCTCACTTGTATGTGGTGCAGGGACATACATGAAACTACAAAACAAGGCAGCAAATGAAGTTGCATTAGAACAATATGAGATAATCAAATTGGGAATTCAACCTTATATACAAAACAAGGCATCAAATTGAAAACTTTATATAAACCATCTTGAAAGCTTTACCTTAACATATGGCTTCTGAGATTCCAAGAATTGTCAATGTAGTGTGCAGTTACAGCCATATAACTCTTCTTTTGAGTGGAGGCTGTCCACATATCAGTTGCGAGTGCCACTCTTCCCTTATTGTCATCAATAACCTTCTGAACCTTAATACGTTCAGAGTGATATAATTTGAAAAATATCTTTCCTAATAGTATTGCGACATGGAACAGTAAAGAGTGGCTGTAGAGAACAAACAAACCTCTTGAAATACAAGTGATCCACCATTGAAAGTGGATACTCGTGTATCAAGATAGCAGCAGCAAGTTCCCTCCTACAAACATCAGAATTATATGCACTAACTACCAAATCCCTCCTTCCAATTGGGGCATAGTTAGCACCAAGAACCTTCTGAGTTCTATCCCCAATTATTTTTTTGTAAACAAGTTCTCATATGGCTTTTCAAATGCGAAGTACCATCTTTTGATTCTCCACATAGTAGCTTTCGACATTATTTGCATTTAGCCTTAAGCTCATTGTTCACTTTAATCCTGCTAAAGTGATTCCAAAATATAGATTTTAGCCTACTAGAATCAATCACATCATCACTATTACCATTTCGTCATTGATAACAACACCCTGAGGTGATCCAACAGCAGCAACTTGGGCTCCAGCAGCAGCAACTTGAGGTGCCAGAACAGCTTCAGGTGCAACAGCAAGTTGAGAAACAACACCATTTGCTCCAACAACAGCAACAACAGGGCAAGTTAGCGGCTAGAAGGGCAGAGATCGCAGACGGGATCTTTAGAGGAAGGACCGCGATCTTGAAACACAGTCGTACTAGCCTTCGGGTACTTTACTTGGCACTCAAATTTATTCTAATTGGATCAATGGAAATGGGCAAATGAAGTCTTGTTTTGAAGCTGGTGAGTTTCTCTACAAGATAGAGTATTTTGGAGCTCAAGAAACAGGCAGGAGGGTCATTGTTAAAGCGTCTCAAAAAGCTATGTTGAAACTGGAATTCTGCCAAAAATTGGCTAAGTGTCAGAACCAGTTTGAGAACCCTACTTTGGAGGACTATTCGAAGCACATGGGGGAGAGTCGAGGCTGGATCTTTGTGCAGCATGAAAGTACAGGTGATTTGCTACAACGACACGGAGTTGGTTGATCAAAACACTACCTTGAAGTCTTCAAACTAAAGCCTGCAAGATTGTATGAAGACTGACCAAAACTGCCTTGCAGCCCAACAATCCGAGTCCTTTGCGGATTAGGATTTCTTTAAGCCTTGTTCTGTTTGCATTAGAATTTCGTGTTTGTTTATGTTTTGGACTTTCGTAGTAGATGTTTAGCTAGCCTAGGTCTATTTAAAGCTTTCAATTACGTTGTAATCGTCAAATTTTACTGAATTGAATACAAACTTGAGTTTGGTTCACAAAGCTTGTTGCTTCGTGATTTTGAGAGTTGTTTAGAAGGAGTTCTAAGCAGGTTGAGTGCTTGTATCGTTAAGCTAATCACGATGTTTGTGGCCGAGCTTCTACCTATAGTTTACGAGCCTTTCTCCCTTCGTGAGAATTGCACGAAACTTCCACCAACACACATTCAAACCATACCCTGTTTGTGGAGTTCTTGCTCGAGAGAACTCTTGGATTCCTTAGTTGTGCTATTCTGATCAATAAACCTCATCTAGGGGTTCATCATGTCATCTACGGAGTATTCTCCAATTTTACTTGGATGTTGTGAACCGTAGTCTAGGATGTGTTAGATTGTAAGAATTACACTCTATGTGTGTTGAGTTTGTGATTCATATAATGATTGAGGTATTATTTATGGAATTTGGGTGTTGATAGTTCATATCTCAATTTTGGGACACCTAGAAGAAGGAAATCCACTTGTAGCCCAATCTTGGCAATTTGGGTAACCTTCCCTAGGGATATCGCTTTGATTGGTAACATTTCGCCATTCCGGATTAAAATTTGAGGGATTTGTTTTGCAAACCTTGGTTGATCGATTAAGAGGTCTACGGTTTCCTAGCTAATAGTGACAATCCTTAATCGATCAATTGAGAGAGTTAGGGTTACCTAGCTAGTTGCAAAATCCTCACGGTATATTATCATACATAACACACTAGAATTTCATTTTTTATCTTGACACGAGACTAGGGGGATAAATGTACAAGTGATGCTTTCTAAAATTGAACTCACCAAAGTTTACTTGTTTGCTTGTTTTAATTACTAGTTTCCTTAGCTTTAACCACAATTTGATTTCTAGATAACGTGTGAACAATTGAAGTAAGGTTAGATAGACCACCCGATACTTACTCTATCCTACACCCTATATAGGTTGCACTTGGCCTGTAGTAGGGATTAAGTGTAGTGATAGCATGATTCAAGTTGTTCTGGCGCCGTTGCTAGGGAACACGATCTATTTTTCAAAAAAAGTTGTTTACAGTTAATTTAGCATTTCATTTTTTTTTTGAACTTTTGATTTGGATCTTGCTTGTCTTGGCTTGTGTTGTGTGAAGTGTGTGCAGGAGGTGTATGACGCGGAGCAACCCAACACCTTTAGCACCGCTAGAAAACAACATCAATCTTACTCTCCGACTCGTAGCTTGGGAGAGGGAGTTAAAGGAGGCAAGAGAAAGGCTCATGGTTCGAGGACAACCACAAGTTGAACGCGAAATTGAGGAGGAAGTTGATGTTTCAGAAGAGGTTGAAAACCTTGATATGGCGAACGAAGCCGAAGACAAAGGTGATTAAGCTAGGACGATGGGCTATTACATGTCTCCACGGGTGGTAGACATCAACTTGAGCATTCTACATCCGCCTGTGGCGGCCAATAATATTGAAATCAAGACTATCCTCATCACCATGATTCATAGCAATATTCAGTTTCATGGACTTGATGACGAATCCCCGATGGAGTACATCAACCGATTTTACGAATTGACAGATAGCTTGAAGATCAACGGGGTGCCTCAAGAAGCCATGAGGTTGAGACTCTTTCCCTACTCATTTAGTGACAAGGAACGGAGTTGGCTAAATGACAGGCCTCCGCTCTCAATTACATAATGGGGAGATTTGGTAACTAAGATTATGAACTTGTATTGTCTGCCTTCCAAGACGGTGAAGTATTAGAAGTGATCTTTGTTCAAGAGGAGGAAGAGACTTCAAGGGATGCATGGGACCACTATTGCGACCTTTTTCACTTGTCACACCATGGCTTTGGAGAGCAATTCGGGATTGAGACTTTCTACAATGATCTTTTCCAAGAAGACCAGACACTTATTGACTCTCTATGTCAAGGGAATATGCTCAACAAGACTCCACCCCAAATGACCGAATTGTTTGAAGTGATGGACGCTGAGGGCTATAATTGGGGAATAACAAGGCGTGGAAAGAAGGTTTGGGAAAGGGGAGTGCACTCAACCGAAGCAACTCCTCCAATTGCAGCACAAATTCAGGAGTTTCTCGAAGTAATCTTGCATGATAGGAAGCAAGGTAAGAGCTCAGTTATGGTTTCCCGTGTCATCAGTCTTCTTCTTCTTCTTCTTCTATTGCACGGTTAGTCGGTTCTGGAAGCTTATGCTAATGCTGACTTTGCAGGTTGTATTGATTCAAGGCGCTCTATTTCTACTTGGTGTGTCAAGGTGGGTGGAGCTTTTGTATCCTAACGTTGTTAGAAGCAAGATAAAGTGTCAATATCTTCTACCGAGGGGAGTATATGTAGATGTCCTAGGTAATTTTAGAACTCATCTGGCTACGTCGCCTGTTCGACAAGATTGATTTTTCGATATCTCTTCCTATGCAGTAGTATGGTGATAATACCAACAATATTAAAATAGAAAATACCATGTCCTACATGACCATATGAAGCATGTCTAAGTTCATGTACATTACATCCAGGAACTAGTTGTTGATGGATGTCTCAAGCTCTACTACATTTTTTTTAATATCATATTGCTGACATCTTAACTAAAGTAGTGTCCTCATATCGACATTGAGTTATTTTTGACAAATTGATGATGCCATCCGCCCATCAATTTGAGGGAGGCTATTAATCTAATATATGAGGGTTATATATGTAAATATATATTATAGTCGTAGAGTTAGGGTTGGCCGAATGGGAGACTATATACATGTAAGTTCTGCCATTAAATGGGGTACGATACGGTTTTTCGGTTATAATATTATTAACTGAGAGCTTATCAATATGTGGAATAGTCATGTTCATCTCTAATCGAGTAGTCATGTTCAATGGGGTAAATACCACATTTGGTCACTGGGATTACTAAATCATGTTATATTTAGTCATTAGAAAAAATTAATATCAATTCTGGTCACTCGAATGACTAAAACAAGTCACTCTCGCGTTAGCCTCCGTCCAACTCCGGTTATTTGAATTACTTTCTTTAATGTGACATATTTCAGTAATTCAATTGATCAAAATTGATATTAATTTTTTCAAGTGACTAAACTGATAATAATTTCAGTTACCAAATGTGGTATTTACCCGATTTCAAAAGGAAGCGGTTCTTCTGGCAAGTGCTTGTGGAAAACAAAATTCGCCAATTGGTGGCTTTCTCCGTGATGTGATGGAATGGATCGAGGAAAATACTAATGAGTAATGATGATTACTGCATTGGGTATGGTCTGGTTATCGGTTAGAGTGAATCTACCTGGAAAGTTCCTCTGTCTCTCTCTTAAGAGAGAAATTGAGCTGCCCGGGAAGGTTCCTCTATCTCGCAAGTACGGTGACAAGCTTGGGTATGAATGAAAGTGAAGATCACATTTCATAGAATATCCCGGTTATAAAAGCGCAATACTTTTACCAGTCAGCTCAATCTATAAACTGACAACAGAGAGAAAGCAGAAAACAGAGTTCTATTTGTGTCCGTAGTTATCAGGAAAAGGGAAATGGAGATTGAGGAAGTGAGCAGCTGCGGCGAGGCACTGCCTTTGCTTTCACTCAATCATGTATCCCTGCTTTGCCGATCGGTATTGGATTCCGCCAGGTTTTACGAGGAGGTTTTGGGCTTTGTCCTAATTAAGCGCCCTTCTTCTTTCAACTTCACCGGAGCATGGTATGGTTACTGTCACTTAATATCTAGCATCTATTCCGGACCTTTTTGGAAACCATATTTATGTAACCTGTTTCTTTTATGGTGATGGGTCAAGGTTATACAATTATGGAATAGGAATACATTTGATCGAGAACCCATCGCTCGATGAGTTTGAGCCCATAATGGAACCGCGACCAATCAACCCCAAAGACAACCACATCTCTTTTCAAGTGAGTGTGAGTCGAGTATTTTGTAACGAGTTACTGTTTAGCATTATCTTAATAAAATCAGTTTGCTCTAATGACTTCGTAACGTGACAGTCTACGGATGTTATGCTGGTGAAGAGGAGATTGGAGGAGATGGGGATGAGGTACGTAACAGCTGTGGTGGAAGAAGAAGGGATAAAAGTGGATCAAGTGTTCTTCCACGACCCAGATGGTTATATGGTAGAAATCTGCAACTGTGACAAAATTCCCGTTCTGCCCCTCTCTCCTTCATTCAAGCCCTACAACACTAATGCGAGTTTCAGAAAATCAGCGGCATCGGCCAAATGTGGGGTGTTGTTCATGGAGAATGAGATGATGGAAAGCTTGAGCATGGACATCCTAAATCTTGTGTTTTAATTATCCCTTTTATCGTCTTCCTATGTCACCTTTTTTTTCTCCTTTTTCACTTTTGTATCTTTTTCTGGTTTATGTTGAAGTATAATTTCATATCTTCCTTTCTAAACGTGAAAAGTATCGACGTCTTCTTTTATATATATATATATATATATATATATATATATATATATATATATATATATATGAACAGGTGGATGTTGGATAAATATTAAAGCTTAAATCAAGAAAGAGGATATAAACAGTACAAGAAAACAAGGGTTATCGATCTGGCTGAGTCACGAACAAGGTGTAGAGATCAAGTTATAAACTTTAGGTCTTAATACTCTACTACACGTAATCAAATGAAGTATACCTTCATTAGGTGGTATCATAGCTATGACCCTCAAGGTTGTATGCCCATTGGTTACTAAATCTACTATGCTACTTCAAAGTTTTGTTACTATCTAAACTAACAATTAATTGGTGAAGTACTAAATCAATATGCACGACTGCACATTAGAAAATCTACCAACACCCATGTCTACACAACGGGGAAATGTTTGGGCTATGGCATGTCTACTTGTGTTAGTGCTTTACATATTTTAAAAATAATATATTGAATTGGTGTCTTTTTTGCTTGACTTATACAAAGCACATCTCATATGTAAAATTCAAAAAATTTAAAAGCATCACTGGTATGCAAGATGAATTTACGAAACCATAATGATTCTTCATCAAACCTAAGATTATAACACACTGGACTACTTCGAAGAAACTATCTTGGGGTCGTTGGATCCAAAAATCTGGACAGGGATTTGTCCCAAATCCTGGCCTGTCCAGGATTTTAAGAGATTATGTTGTTTGGGTTGGTGTCCAATTATGCAGGATTTGGTCCATGCTGGTTTTTGAAATCCAGCCCAGCTCGAAATTAGAAATAACTGGCCCCTAGGTATTTTAAAATCTGGTCCCAATTTTATTGTTTATGCCTAGGGTGTCCTTGCTTATTTTTCGTTAATCCAATTTTACCATTCACCACATTTTCAAAGACCTACCTCATTCTTCGAAACAAATGAGTGATGGCTCTCCCCAACCTGCCTCCGCGATAGAACTCCTTTGATTTCCCGACAAGAGGAGGGTGTGCGGCTGATCTTGCTGGCGAGCGGCTGATATTGGCGGCGATGGAAGTGAAGGTTAGAGGTTGATCTTACCTTCTTCAACATGCACGACTTATGCAAGAAGATTCAGGTTCGTTACCTTCTCTTGTTGCTGGAATTTTGGTACAATTTCTAGGGGTCATTAGAACGATGTGTTACCAAATCCTGGCGGATTCTCCTCAGCCAGCGGTGCCCCGGCTCCTCAGTGAGCTATGCTCTGCATTATTCTTATGGTGGATCTTGAATTTTGAATGGGTATCTAATTAGAAGGGTAAGAAGAACCCATAAACAAAAAGTGATTGATTGTTTTGAATGAGTCTTTAACCAGAGATTTGCTATGCTATTGCTAACCTAACATATAGAAACCATTTTAGCTTTGCAAACCCACCAATCCATCGCTTTTTCCACTTCCATGAAGATAAAAGGATTTGATTGATTGTTTTGTTTGTCTGTAAATGATCATTACTGGTGAGAAAAATGGCTTTTTCCCTACCCGTAGCTTTCTAGAGCCTATCTGTTGTTGCCCTATTTGTTGATTGATGAACCCATTATTCTAGTAATTGGTCGGGATCCTTGATAACTCTTTGGTTTACTATTCAAATATGTCCACCCACAGCTTTATTTCGATTGAATCTTTAGATATGGGAATATAATGAATTAGGGACAGTGTCTATGATCACAAGAATGATTTCTGGTAACTTAGGAGTCTATGTACTTACTTTAGTACAGACTCGTTCGATATGATGATTTGGGGGTTTAGGTAGGAGGAGTTTCTCATGGCTCTTTTGTGTCAAGTACTGGGATTGACATTATTGATCCATGAGTATACTCAAGGGGTGTATTTAACTTGGGTGGAAATGAAACCACGGTAAAATCAAGAGGTATGGTTGAACCTATATTTTAGTGTAGGTTGTTGTAGGGTACTTCTTATCCTTGTGGTTTTTGTTCTTTCGTTTGTTCAACAGCTATGAACGAGGATTGGGTAAGTGGGAATCATATATATGGTCTGGCTAAAAGTGTTGTTGTGTTCTGATTCTAGTTTGAGCTAATATCATGTAATCCAATCCATTACATAGAGTATTTATAGTTTCCTTGTCAGGAACTTATTATGTTGGGGTTTATTTGTCGTTAATTATTATTCGGGATATTTGATGTTATGTTGCATATTTTGGAAAATATTACGGTTTATTCGGTCAGGTTAATTATTTTGGTAGGTATAGGGAATTAGTCGGATTATATATTCTATGTTAGGAGAGAATTGGAGGTTAAGCAATAACACAAAAATTATTCCCTTCAGGTATCTCTTTCTCTCTCTCCTAACTGAACCCTCTCTCCTTCATCAATCATCCCTAGCCGTCGGCCACCCCTCTCTCGGGAACCGACTTCTGCTTCTCTCTCATCCCCAATTCCCAGTTCTTTATCACCTAAATCCATAATTTCTCATAAATCGCAACCATAAATCGCACACCTAAATTCGTGTTCTTTCATTCCTTTTGTATGACACTTGTCTCTTCCGGTATCTGCTACTACTATGGTTGTTTCTGTTTATACTATCAACATTTTATTATTGTTGTTTTACCTGCCCTTATAAGGATGGCACGACTGTTGACTCGCACGGACTATACCGGGAATTAAATCACGACTAGAGCCCAAGTATAAACTCTAGCCAGGTGCAGTATAGGGAAAGTATGTTTTAATTGTCAAACCCAGGTCGGTCCATGTAGCCCTACTTCAATCGCTTAAATTTTTATCTAGCAAACGGTTTTTGGTTTAAAAGCTAAGAAAACTACAAAATAAACAAACAAGAAAAGTAAATCGAGGTTGTCCCAATAAGAGAAGTATTCACCCGGGTATTGCTCCCCATAGTATCGTATTAAGAAACCGTGAACGAAACTCTAGTGTGAAGGATGTATTTATAAACCACGAGGCGGATGCAACAAGCTAGGAAATCCTAACTCTCTTAGTCGATCGATTAAGGATAGCAACAATAAGCTGGGTGGCCCAACTCTCTTTGCCATTCGACTAAGGATTGCAATTATAAGCTAGGGGATCTAGCCCTCTTGACCAATCGACCAAGGGTTGCAAGCACCAATTTCTCGGAAATTAATTCGGACGACGGACAGTGACCAATCATGATGGCATCATGGCAATAATTTGAGGTTTTCCCTAATTTGCTTAGGTGGGGGACACAAATTGGCAAGAATCCAGCTTCTCAAAGCCTCTTAAAACAAGGGTATTCTCTCCACCTAGGTCAAAATGACGAGTTAAAACAAGCACACTCAATCATTCATGAATAATACCTCAAATATTATATAAAACATTCAATAAAAACACGATAGAATCATGTTCTTACATCCTAACACACATCTAGACTAGGATTCACAATACCCTAGTGAAAAGGAGCACTACTCTATAGCTAGGTAAAGGAATTCAACAACAACAACAACAACAACAACAACAACAACAACAACAAAAAAGAGAAGAACCATGGTGGATGTTTGTCTTCCCTCCTTGTTGATGAGAACTCCCTTGAGAGGTAAGAATATTCACTCCTCTAGCTTGAAGTAGGCCCAATCTTCTTCTTCTCTCCATGTTGATTACTTTCTCTCTCTAGATTGTGAAGAAGAAGACCTTTCTCTAACTAGGGTTTATCCCTTGGGTTTCTTCAGCTTGAATCCTTGAAGGGAACCCAAAAATGTGAAACCAGCCCTCAAGATTCTACCCCCTTTCTCATTCAGCTCACTTCCCCTTTTATACCCAGATTGACGTTTGTTCACGGTCTCAGTTCACGACTTTGAACTAAAAGCCTGAACTGTGAACTTAGACAAACCCGCGTCGTTTCAGTGCAGCTCTTAATGGTCTGGAGCGGATTATCATGGTCTGGTAACCGTGAACTAGTTTATGCCCGTGAGATGGACAAAACCTTCTAGACTCCTGGCACTTCACGCCCTCGAGGCAATTGTCACGGTTTCTTCACTTTATGGCGATTTTCGGCCTCCAATCGTCCCGAAACTCATCCTCGACCCTTCCACACGTGCTAGGACCTGAAATGTATAAAAAATAGCACAATCTATCATAAAATAAGTCGAGTGACGATGAAATGCAAAGTCAAACTATAAAGAAATAAGTGGTAAAATGTGTACAATTGGACCCGAATCAGCTGTCAAGCATGTCTTCAACAGAAAGGCGAAAGATTATGGCAGAATATTTGCGCATTTTGGAATCTATTAGTTATGTACATCAATTTGGGAATGAAACTAACAAGGCTCCTACATCTAAAGCACTTAAATCCCAGAATTGGTAGGCAACCCATTGATGGGTACATTGTGAGGCACTACAATAGGCAAAGGTTTCTCTATGCTTGGTACGCAAAGTAGCGATACGGAAAGCCATAGGAAGATTAGTTAGAACCACAACCTATTCGAAACTCAATGTGAACTACTAGTCGCTGAAGGGCTTCTTTCAAAGACGAGAAATGTAGAAATAGAGGAAATGTTACTTACCTTCCTACTTACCCTTTCTCTTCGAGAGAGGAATAGGAGCATAGCTGTAGATCTTAGGAGATCTGCAGAGACGATATACCGGTCATTCCATCGCGTGTTGCTAGTAGGAAACATAAATCTTAGGGGTTTGGATGGTTAGGCGGTCGACTAGTGTTTTAGTCGAATTAGGATTATTATTAGGATTTTGGGAGTCTTTTACTATAAATATGTATTTTGGGTTTCATTAATCAATCAAGAAAAATATTAGTAAAATTATACAAACCCTAATCTCTCCAAAATCCTCTCAAATCTCAACCTCTCTTCCCCAAAGGATGCCGGCTTATTCTCCCCATTCTGCCCAATTATGTTCTTCAATCCCTAATTTCCAATTCTCCTATCCAAATCTCTAATTCTTTTTCTCAATCCCTAAATCTCTTTCTAATCTATCCGATTAAGTTAATTCCAAGTTATCGAAGAATCGTAGTTCCTTTAGTGGTATCAGAGCCCGGTTCGATTATGAGCTCATCACAGCTCTCAAACGAGGACCGGATCGTACAATTGGAGGAAGAACTCCAACGTGCGCTGTAGTAGATGGAGTGCTCGGCCAGAGAGATGAGGGTGGCGCTCTTTGTAGAATGGACTAGCAGTGGTGGTGGGTAGAAGCTCGTGGCACCGGCTGAGGAGGAGGCGGAACCGACGGGCAACC